GAAACCAGGTTGCTCTTTGGAGACAAGAATTTTGAAACTATATCCCACAAACTCTGGGTACGCTGCCAAGAGAGAAGAGTCCTTGAAGAAAGACATCACACTTGGAAGGGGAGAGAATCAGCACAGGAGAGGAAGATGAGATGAGATGGACTGACACTGTTACGTTAGCAATGGCAGGCAAGGTTCAGAACCATTGTTCAGTCAACTCAGCAGCACACAAGAGGCTACCAGAGCTCCCTCAAGAGAGGAGGGTGCTAAAATCAAGATGATCTAGGAGAAGCCTCCATATTACAAACAAGGTCCATTTCTAAATCTATTTCTAAATCAAATTTATACTTAAATAAGAACAAAAAAAATACAGTTCCTTTCTAATGCCCTCTCAACATTGGCCTCAGTAACTAGTGTACTTTTTTTTTTATGCCTCAAAAAAGTTTCAAAACATTTCCAGGTATATTAAAGCATCCTTAATATAACAATAAATTTTTAATATTTCACAAAGCAGCAGTCTTTTGTAATTATGAACTTGTTATTACACTGTACATGTCACAAAATTTAAATTTTAGGCACAGTTATTTCATTGCGATCCTGTATGTAAATCGGACATTTACCCAGTCGTTCGTAACTCAAGGACTGCCTGCACATCACAATTTTCCTTCGAGTCAGCCCTATTCGAAGTAGAACCTTGTTCCCATTATGTAGCAATAGATTATCTGCCATTTTGCATTGTGGAAATGTACCTTCCATCATCCAGCATAATCTAGTTGACTGTAGAATGCTATACACAGACATTACAATGACAGACAACTAATTCAATCTTCCTGGCTGGGAAGATGCCACTGTTAACATCTCTTCAAATTCTTTCAGATAGCTTTTGATGCAGAATATCTCATACAAGCCAGAACTATTCCTTCCTGCAGTATCTGAAGGAGGAAAATAATTGACAATTATTGAGAAAAGGAGAGATAGTAAGGAGTAAAGGAAAACGGATTATAAGACGCAGCATAGAAAAAAAATACTACCACAAAATTCAAATAAACAAGCAAAAAAACTAGGACAAGGTGATTACCCAACAACTTGTGATTCAAAGAGAAATGAATGTTCATGGTCTAGAACTAAACAAATAAAATCGCTTTTGCAATTGAAACCATATATTTAAATAGCCAATATGGAATTTTCCTATGTCGCAAGGTAAAGTGATATTGAATACTTCCTACTCAAGTGAAACCTCATTGCTTGTAATTTATGCAGGTCTGTTGCAGCACTGGCTAATTTCATCACTAAGAAAATAGCCGATTATTTCTAGAAGCCATGTCTTACTCGTATTCTTCAAAAAATCTTCACCAAAGGCTTACAGACACATTAGAAAATAGAACCAATATAGCTCTCCCTGACTGCAGAGTCTTTAGAAGTGTCTCCAACTTCAAATTACTTAATCAGGCAGCTCTGGTAGCCTAGTGGCAAGAAGCTGCACTGCAATCCCAAAGGCATGCAGTTCAAGGCCACCAGCTAGCTGCTCTCCTGGAAACGGATGGACATTCTCCTTTCGTGCAATTAACCTCTGAAAACCCAAAGGAGGGGTCAGTTCCAACGCCACAGCATACAACAACAACAAATTATTTCATTTTTATCTCTAATCTCTAATAGACGGGGAAAGGCAGACCTGCAAACTCTCTGGGGTCATATCATACTTACTACATAAAAGTATAAATGCAAAGGGTATTGTTGTTATGTGCTGTTGAGTCGTCTACAACTCACAGTGACCCTGTATACAGTAACCCTGAACTCTGTCCTATCCTGAGCCAATCTCACTGTCTCTGACACACCTGCCCCTGTTATCCCAATCAGTTTGTCAATCCATCTTATCCAGGGTCTTCCTCTCTTTTCCACTCCCTCCAACCTTCCAAGCATGATATCCTTCTCCAAGGATTGGTCCCTCCTGGCAACATGCCCAAAATATGTGAGATGGAGCTTCAAAATCTTTGCCTCCAGAGAGCAAATTCGGTTTCACCCTCTCCAGCACAGATCTGTTTGTTTTTTTGGCGGTCCATGGTATGTTCAAGACTCTTCTCCAGCACCACAACTCAAGGGCATCACTGTTGACTACAATATAGCACAGACTGTACTCAATGGAAAAATGAAGTTTTAAGCAAAATACAGGGGCTGATTTTAAAATAATAAATAATTGTTGTTGTTCTGTACCGTCAAGCTGCCTGTGACTCATAGCGACCCTAGTACAACAGCTCTGAACCATGCTCTATCCTGAGCCAACCTTATTGTCTCTGACACATCTACCCACCACTACCCCAACCACTGAGTCAATCCATTTCATCAAGGGTCTTCATCTCCTGCACTGTCCCTCCACCCTCCCAGTCATAATGTTCCTCTCCAAGGACTGGTCCCTACCTGCAACATTCCCAAAGTATGTCAGATAGAGATTCAGAATTACAAGCCTTTAAAATTAAACCAAAACCTAACTAAAGCCACCACTGTTAGTGCTGACTGTGACTAATAATGAATCTACAGGGCAGAGGAGAAGAACCCTTTGGGGTTCCCAGGGATAATTCTTTTCTGGATTGGACGATCCCATCTTTCTCCCATAGAGTAGCTGTTGCTGTTGTATACTGTTCATTAAGAACTGACTCACAGTTGATCCTCCAGGACGTTTTCACAGGCAGTAAATTGAAAGGAAGTAGGACTGTTCCTCTTCCTCCTGTGCAGTAGCTAGTGGATTCGAACCACTTGCCTCTGGCTCAGCAGCACAACTTCTTACTACTAGGCCACCAGAGCTCCCCATACAGCAGGTAGCTTGGTTCAAATCGCTGCCCTGTCTGGGTTAGCTACAGATAGCTTTAACCACGACACTACCAGGGATCCTTAAAATAGACTCAAGAAGGCATCTAAGGTCTTCATTCTAGCTCCAACTACTTTCTTAATCTAACCAATTTCTATCGAACAAGGAAAGGAGCAGAAAGGAAATAAAGTATTTGAAAAACTGCCAGAGTAAAAAATCACATAATGAAATTTTGCTCATTCTTGGAGAAATGAAGTAGAATTAGATGCTTCAGTGGTAGTGAATTCTACAATCTGGGTAGCTTCCAGTAAATGAAGCTTTCCCATAATGTCAAATGCAAAAGCTATCTGATATCAACATATTGAGCTCGAGTTTTTAAATTCCTATTTCCTTACACCAAATTGTTTGAAACCTTTGAGATAAAAACTTCAATAAACTAGTGTTCCAAGCTTTTAATATTTTAGTCCCTTGAGCAAGCATGTCAGATTAATTTTCAAATTGTAATGGGCAGAAAGAACATTCAACCAAATTCTTAAGCCCACATCTCTCTCAAAGGATGTTAATAATGTAAGCAGTTTCATTGGCTATTAAGATTTCAAACTTTCCTAATACTCAGTAGTATTACTGCTTAAATGGGGGGGGGGTGTGGAAGGAACAGAGAAAGGCTTTCTATGCTGAAAGGAAGGGATCTTGCTTCGATATCATTTCCATCTAGCAATCAGCACACACTGCCAGGCACACAGTAGGCAATGGATAGGCCATTCTGGATGAGCTGTTGGAACAGCCTAGGGAGAGAATGGAAATCCAGCTGAGACCAGCAAGAGTACATATTCTGTTCCGACCCCGGAACAAAAGAACATTAGGGTTATCGAGGTAGAACAGGAATTTGAACGTGTATCTTCAAAGCTGCATCAGGAGGCTGTCTCCTGAGCTGGCGGACAGCCATCCAAGAGCCACTTATCAGGGGATTATGCTCGCCTCTGACTTCACCATGCCTGGAAAACTCCATCTCACCTGTGACCAGCTCACCTGCTCCAAGCACTGGCTTTCCACTCACAAAACTGAAGTTCAAAATTTGACCTGGTTGATCTAACCGAGGCACAGTCACAAGGGCATTCCAGTGGCGTCACCAGGGGAGGGGAGGAGGCCCAGACCTGCACCAGGTGGCAAAGTGGGGTGGGGGTGGGGTGACACCAAAGTGACTGGCTAGAAAATGTTTGTGCCGTTTCAGCAGAAATTTATTATTTTTATAAAAACACCCCTGTAGTTAGTCATAACAACAAAATCGTATGGTTTTTTTTCTTTAAGTCGAATTGAGAAGTATCAGTATACCTAGCAGGCTAAAACTCTATGCTAATTTACTTTGCTGGACCCTCCAATGTGCTCTCAGCTGAGCTGGCATCGTCCAATTGCAGCGATGCTTCAGATCACGTGGTTCAAAGCCTTCTGCACCTGGCTATAAACCTGGCTACTGGTTGCCCAGCTGCTTATGTTTATAGTTGCTGATTTTGCCAAATTTTCTGCTGCTTTAGTTGCAACGTTGTGCTATTACCTTCTATCAATACCTTTTTTGTGACTTACACAGTAATTTTTTTTAAAAAAAGGAGAAATATTATAAAAGGCGCCTTCTCAGTTGCTTAATAGTTTTCAACTAATATGATTCAATGCCGAAAGAGTTGACAACATAACTTTGGTTCTGGTATGCAAAGGATCTAAGAAAAATTACATTGAAGCAATTTATAACCACATTTATCACATGGCATCCTCTTTATAAAACTGATGATGAACCTTATTAAGGATCCCGTAGGACCAGGTACTGGAGGTGGTCAGAGGGTGTGGGGAGGGACATCATGAAAGACCACACTGGCTGACACCAATCTCCGTGACGCCCACAGGGAGGTCTGAGGGCCATCAGTTTGAAGAGAAAGAACAGGGGGCTAGGCGGAGGTGGGGGGGGAACAAAACAAAAAAAAACAGGGTGGCTGTGGGCACCTCTAAAGGTGAAAGGTGGTGGGAAGCAGGAGGGCTGGGGGAGGGCCAAGTGAGAGATGCTCAGTCCAAGGCCACTCACTGTCCAGAGGTTCCTCAGCCCTCTGTCCCCGGTGCTGGAAGGGGGGGCGGGGGAGGGGACCGAGCGCGGGACCGACCCGGTCAGGGCACAGGGGAGGGCAGGGAGGTGGCGGGCGGTGAGAAGAGGCAGGGACAGTACCTGGTGTGGCTGTGGTTGCGGGGACAGTCCTTCTTCTCCATGATGGCCGGCACGCAGTTGGTGAGCTCCGTCCAGTCGGCGTGCAGCCCGCAACTCCAGCCGGTGGAGAAGCGGGAGAAGAGCCAGGTCTCCTTCTTGCCCGGCCGGTGGCAGGTGCACTTCTTCTGGCCGGCCTTGCAGCTACACGGCTGCTCCAGGCGGATGTTCTTGACCAGGTGCCGGCCGAACGTGGTGCCCCCCGTCTTCTGGATGTGCAGAAACACGATCACGTCGCGCCCCTTGATGTTGAAATCCACGAAGCGGGTCAGGTCCTTGAGGGTGAAGTTGAAGCGCGGCACGAAGCGGGGCAGCAAGCCGTTCTCGGGGGCCTCAGGGTCCGGCTCTTCCTCCTCCTCCTCTTCCTCCTCCTCCTCCTCCAGGTCCCCCGGGTCCTCGTCCTCATCCTCGGGCGCCTCGGCCCCCCGCTGTCCCTCGGGGGGTCCCCGGGGCGGCGGGGGCAGCTGGGGCCGCCGCTCCCACTCCTCCGGCGGCGCCTGTGCCCGGCGGGCGGCTCCCCGGGCGGCGGCGGCGACGGGCGCGCCGGCCTCCCCGGCGCGGGGCTGGTCCCCGAAGTTGGTGCAGGAGCTGGTGCAGGAGGGGGACACGTACTGGTACATGATGACCACGAAGAGGAGCGTGAGCACGGGCGTCAGCAGCCACTTGTTGAACCTTTCATCCATGGTCCCGCTCTCAGGCCGGCAGGCGCAGCGGCGGCGGCGGCAGCGGCGCGCACGGGCGCCGGCTCGGAAGTTTCGGGGACTCCGGGGCGCGGCTCAGAGCCCGCCGCTGCTCCATGCCCCTGACGCCGAGGCGCGG